CGGTAGCCGCTTTCAACAAAGGTCTGGGGATTAGCGACTTGCGATGCGATTGCGTTCGGCAACTGGAGTACTACTTACAGGAGACTGCAGCCGTGTTGGTGTTACCGAAGTTGCCGAAAGCAGTGCGAAAACGAGTTGTTGCAGCCAGCTGTTTTGCGAAAGCCCTGAGAGACCTGGCCATGTTGACAGCACGCGATGCGGCCTATGTTGGTGTGGGAGGAGGTGCACGCGATGGCAATGCCATTCGCTGTCCGCTACAAACGAGCACTCCTTTTGTGCCAAAGTGGAAAAGGCTGAACCGGGAGAGCATGTTTGCATGAGTTTAGCATGCATAGTTGTTTGAACGGCAGTTGTTGCGCGCGATGGCAATGCCATTCGTTGTCGCTATAAACGAGCACTCGTTTTGTGCCAAAGCTGAACCGGGAGAGCATGTTTGCATGTTTAAAGGGATGCATTCACCCAGTTGGCGAAAGTCGGCAAAAGCATTCGGAATCCCACTCCATCTCAGACCAACTTGCTCACACGCTACACTACGGCACCAAAATGCTTCCCATGTTTTGCCAAGCGCATTCGTCCAGTCGACAGCACGAGGACATTTTCATAAAAAATCTGAAGATGTCGCATAAGCGGTTCGACCCTCAGAGACAATTCCAGAGCACACCGAGAATCAGCTGAAAACTCATGCCAGGCAGCTGAAGCGAAAGCCAGAAGACGGCGGACATGAGCTGCTTCCCGAGATTTTGACAGGTCAGCCCAGGAGATACTCATGCTTATGCTTTGTCGATGCCAATGCGGTTCATGTACATTCACAGATGGTCGCAGATCCTGCCGTAGTGTTGATTAGTTTTGCCGCGCAGCTCGGACTATTGGTGTTGCATGTGTCACACGCGTGCCCGTTTTGTCGTAATGGTGACACAGCGTCCGGAGAATCTGGTGCTGGTTTCCAAAAAGCAGACACGGTGGCTTGGACATGCTGCATCCCATGCTGACAGCTACCAATGTCACAACATTTTGGCATCATGCTTCTTGCAGTTCAGTTGTGCTTTGTCGAACACATCAGAATATCACCATCTGATGAATTGAGCACTGTGCAGGAAGACGTTCCCATGGCTTCTTTCTTCAAGTGACAGATATACAGATATAGATAGATAGATAGATAGATAGATAGATAGAGGCTTGCGCATCAAGTAGACTCGGTTTTCTTCAGTCGAAGTTTTGTCCAGATGTTGCAGTCTGCAAGTTTTCGTGTTCTTCATCCACCATTTACAGATCGTCGGCCATGTGGTGGATGTCCCATTGCGACGCAGTCGACGCCTTCGCCTGGTGGTCTAGCAGCTGAGGCTAGCTGATGACGATGACGATGTGGACGGTCGCAGGCTTACCTGCTAGTGTCACATTCACTTGAATTTTTCTGGGTGTTGCTTGGGGTTTTGTATGAGGTGCCGATGTTCACGTCCCGGACATAGACAAGGCTCGACCATGGGAAGGCCCACGATGGCAATCCTCCCAAGTGTGTGGACGGTGCGTTCACAGGTTTGGCGCGAATTCAGCACCAAACTCTCGAAGGGAGATGTCCAAACAGTCTGAGGCTCAGTGCTGCCATGACCAAGACTAAGAACTTGACTGCTAAGCTCAGGACGATCAGGGGCAGATAGTCTACGAGGCACTCAGATTGTCAAGCTGACTGGAAGGGAGCTCGGGACGGCTGCCCTATTTGCATGTGCTTCGCTGCCGCCATTCGCATTGGGCGCTAGGTCAACAGTCCAACACCTGCCCCGAGCATGTGGGATAAGCACGCGGCCGGGAAGTTCTGAGTCCTCGGCCTCTTCTGCCAGCATTGCTGAGCTGAGGTGGAAGATGTATGGGCTCATGGCCATGAACATCTCCATGCTGCTGCCGCTGCCTGAGGTTTGCACGGATGCTTGCACACTTGGATCCGCGGGCGGTGTCGAACACGCAGAGCTTCCAAGTCTCCATGCTTCTTTTCTGTACAAGACAGGGCCAACCACACATGAAGGGCTTCGCACGAAGTTCTAACAGCCTAGATCAGCCGGAACACCAAACGAGACGAGTGCTTCCTTTAAGTGGAAGCATCTGCCACTGTCAGCGCAATCATAAGGTGCACTCAGTTCTTGAAGAGGCTCGTGTTGTGCCGAGACGGGGGATGGGGGGGCTGAAGCCGGCCCTGACTGCGCCGTAGCAGGTACAAAGGGTCCGACGCCACAGAGGAGGAGAATGTCTGAGACTTAGTGCTGTCATCGACTGTGCGCTTCCTCTGTGGTGCATGTGGCATTGCCGAGGTCTCTCCTGATGGTGGGCAAGAAGGCTCTCTCAAATCCTCAGCCGCTTGACGTGGGATCCAAACGAACATCAAAGGTGAAGAAGCCAAAAAACACAAGAAGAAGAAGGACGAACGTGTACAGCACCATGCAAAAGCTCTCTGTGCAGTTTCAGGGTGCATGGTGCTGCCCCTGGCATATTTGGCATTCTCTTCAGGACGGCAAAAAGAAAAGCTAATTCATCGGCTTCAGTTTGCAGACGCCTCATCACAGCAGTGATTCGAAACATTAAGTGGCACGGGGCTGCACTTGCATGCAGAGAGGCTGACTGGCCCCTAACGAGCTACGTGTATGTTGATCACAAGTGCTGCCACACTGTTACTATCTGTCACCGCTTTTTGCTTAAGCTCGGCGCCACAAGCGGAGTTCAGGCATGTGCGGGGCATGCCAATACATGTGCGAAGCAGAGCCGCATGTTACCAGCAAAAGCAGTATTGACAAAGCACAGAGTTTCAATGCGATCGCTCGCCACGCAGCAAGCTTTGGATCGCAGGGAGCAAAATATTATAGTGTAGATGAATCCGGTTTTAAATTTGGTTTTTCTCTTTCTACCGTGCCCCTGCCAGCCGGCTAAGGCACAGCTTTTGTTGCTTCTTCGATTCCCCCAACCCAAACCCCCAACCCCAGCATGTTAGCTTTGACGTAGCTGACGTATCCTCAACTTGTTCCATAAATCACTCCCGCCAGAATTAGTCTGCAGAAGGCAAAAACTCGTGTGGCTATGGGGCCACACTAATCAGGCCTCCACATTAACCGTTGTGTGTCGAAACAGCTGGCGGACTGAGTCGAGTAGGCACAAGGCGAACACCGAATTGAATTGAAGCACGATTCCGACAAGGGTAGGGTTTAGAATTTGGGGGTGGAGGGTTGCACAGGTTTCAGGATGGGACGGAGGGATTTAGGGTTTTGGGATCACAAGTCAACGCGAGCCGAGTGCTTGTGTGCTGTTATTTGGCTTTGGTGGCTTTGGTTTTTTAGGGGATTTTGTGCATAAGGGCGAATCATGAAGGTTTAGTAAAATAGGGATATGCTTGCTTGGATATTCGGCTTCTTAACTGTAGGTCTGGCTTGTTCAAAACACCCAAGCCCAAGCAATGCTGCCGAAGTCGGGCGCCGTGATACAATCAATGATGCAGTAAAACATGGACTGTCGAGTCGGGGAAACGGAGAGGGTCGTGTCGCGAAGCAACAAGCACAGGAGTCGCTTGACAGCAAAGATTTCGCTAAGATGTAGGGTTTCGCTCCAAGTTTGGGGCTTTGGGGGTGTTTAACTCGGAGGCTTTCCTTTATTGGACTCGCCACCTCCTGCACCTCTCATGATGTCGATAAGGATTTGGGATCTGCTGGAACCAGGCACTGCTTTGGGGTTTAAGGGTTTTTTCGCAACCGCACACTCCTTCAGGATGTGTGGTTTCGGCTTTCATAGCGAGACACCTTGATACGAACAGTCACTCCGTCACTTCTTTTTTGGTCGAGGTTTTCCGCAGACACCCACTCCCGAGTTGAACCCTAGTTTACTTTGCAGGGCTTTCAAGGTGCGAATCTTTATCCACCGGTGCAGTGTACGAATCAGGGGTCTCGACACGTCGTAAAGCATCGAAGTTCCGGAAGTTCCTCTCTCCGGACTCCGGGCCACGGCCGCGCCTTCCATGGCCCATGGCCTCGGCCTCGGAGGATCGTCTTCGGCGCCTGCTGGCTCTCAGGCTAGGCCATGGCCCTCTCTTCTCTGACTGCCGCTCTTTGGGAACTTGAGACGAACCGCCGAAACGGAAACGTGCACGGACGCAAGGGCGCAACGCTTTTCAGGCCAGATCGCTTTGCAGAAGTTGGCAACTGCCCGGGTCCTTGCCTCAGCCGTGAGTGGAGGACACCGGTGCAGCGGAGACGGGCAGCGGCGCAGCAGCACGGCTGAGGCTGCGGCGCCGTGTTCCCATCCTGTCGGATGCCTAGCATCTCCCCGCTCCCCTAGGCAGGTCCGGTGGCAGAAGGCCCCAGGCGTAAACGGGACTTCGTTCGACAGGTAGCTGCTGCAGGCAGTTGTAGCAGAAGCTGACATAGTCGTACTGACGTGCGCTGCATCCAAGCCGGCATCTTCAAAGAGATGGCTTTTGGCGCTTTGCAGCTACTACCTTCGATTGTCTAGTTGATCTGGGTCCGGGAGAAGTCGCTCCCAAGGTTCTGGGGCGCTGGCGGTCTGGGAACATGTGAATTCTTGGGAGGCAGCTGACTTGTCACCGCCACACTGTTTCGCACTTCATCCCATGATCGTTAGTAAAATGTTATGGCGGTGTTCATGGAGCGTTCCGTGTGCAGGGTTCTCACGTGCGAGTGCGGCAAAACGTCCTGGACATCATCGGGCAGGTCCCCATTGATCCAAAATGTGCTGAACAATGCTGAAACTGTCCTGTCCTCGTGTTACTGCTTGACGCAAACCACGTCCACACATGATACTGCAATGTTCAGCTTCGAATCTGACTATGGCACACACCTGCAGTGCACGGTTTCGATCGGCATGACACGGGCAGCATCTTAGATCGCATGTTACCCCAAACATGTTCAAACTGGTTGTAATTCTGAGATGAAGTTTCGGGAGCCATGTCCTCGACACAGCCTGCCTTGATGTCACGAGTCTGAGCCGTGAGAACAGGCTCAGACTCCCACATGACTCTTTGGTTGATTTGGTTTACCCTTTCCATTTTACAGTCTGGGGACTGTCTGACTGGTCGCAGACTTCAGCTGGACAGACCAGCCGGACCTCCGCAGAAGATTGTTGTCTCCAACGAATCTCCGGTTCCGGATGCCTGGGTAGTTCACGAGCTGGAGCTCTTCTTTGGATTCTGCAGCGCACTGAGACTGGCTGTACGCATGTGACCAATACCATGTACACTATCTCACCTCTAATGTCATGGCATGATGATCTACATAAGCTGTCTCTTGCGTAATGATTTCAATCACTTTACTCTGATTTCCATCCCAGGTCATGAGGAACGGCCGCTGGACTCCTTTCTTACCAACATCTGGAGTTCTGGGACACGGCGGGAGAATGAAGAAGGCACAGAGGCTTTCCGTGCCTTCGATGGCAGCTTACAGACCAATTGGACTGCAGACTGCAGGCAAGTCCTTGGGGGTTGTGCTCCTCTCGATGCATACATCGGCCTTGATGTGAGGGACACGCCTGAGTACGGCGAAGCTTGGACCAACAAGGATGAACCCTTCAATATTTCAGCTCCTTTCATGGAGAACCTAAAGGTGCGGTGCATCCGGATTTTCCAAGACTCAAACCCACTACACAAGTCTGACATCATCTCAATTCGAGAAGTCTGGCCGGACACAACCACCGAGACCGAAGGCGACTATGTTTTCGTCACTGCACAGGTGCTGGAAGCTGTAAGTGCAGGAATTTGGTCGAGGAGACCGAGCATCGAAAACTCTGCTTGGAGGATTGTGAACCTTTGGCCGACCGAAGATCCTCTCACCCTGACCGAGGTACAGTTCTTCGGAGATGACCTGTGCTCGCTGCAGATCCATGGGGCCCCGTTCTCCTCTGGGAGTGCTGATCCGATCACACAGGGCGAGCAGCTTGCATTGGATCTGAACTTGAACAGCCAGTGGCGGGCGAGCTGCCTGGATGGCTGCGCTGCTCAGGAAGCGTTTATAGGACTGGACTTTGGTGATGAAATGTTGGAGGTCCGGTGTGTGAGGATGTACCAGTACAAGCCAAATCCCTTGGCTATCGTGTCGGAAAGGCCCTCCTATTCAAGAGGCTTCGACCTGCAGCGCTGGACAGGCAAAGGCTGGCTCTCAACAGAGCGATTTTGGGACCCAGCATTCGTCTCCCAGGTATCAAACCCGGAGTGGCTCCCAACCATGATTACCCCTTTTTTTGGCGGTGCACCTGGAGTTTGGGAAGACCTGCGGCCTGCAAACAAAACTGCATGGCGAATAATGAACGATGATTGGACCAGTGCCGAATGGCATGTCCACGAATTGGAGTTCTTCGAATCAGAAGCATGTGATGGTCAGAAGCTTGAGGGCGTCGCTCTAGACATGGTGGGCCCTTCCAATGCGCATATGGCAGCGCTGGCCTTCGATGGCGATCCAAGCCACAATCTAGCGTGGCAGTCGCATTGTTTCGGGAGTTGCATTCCATACGAGGCATGGCTTGGGTTGTACATGCGCCCTGCCACGGGAAGTGCCGAGACTTACGACGGGCCGCAAGTGAGGTGTCTGAGGATAATGCAGAGCCGATTCCAGCAGCACACTGCAGCCTCGATTTTCCTCAGCAGATACGAGAACGGGCGATGGGAGGGCCAGGAAACACATCGTTTCATCGGAGGTGGAACCTGGAACCAGAGGCCGGCACCGCAATGGACGCAGTGGAGGATCCTCAATGATGGTCCTATCATTGGACAGTGGCGGATCCACGAACTTGTTGCTTTCAAGGATCCCTTGTGCATTGATCCAGTTGAAGGTGGAAGCCCGCTGGCAAGTGGCTATTCTGTGTTTGCAGAGGGGCCCGAGAGGCTTTTCGATGAGAAGGAAAATCCTCCATGGGGTGCCGATTGCCTGCAGTGCAACACGTCTCGGGGTTATTGGATCGGGATGCAATTGCCGCATGACACTGAAGATGCACAGGCAGGGCTCTCACTTCTGCGGTGCATCAAACTCTGGCAGAGTGCCCAGGTAGAGCAGCAAGCCTTAGGATTGAAGGCAGAGGTGTGGAATGGTCGGGACTGGACCATGTCTACTATTTCGAGCTCGGGCTTTCTAGATGGAGGTGGTGGTGGCATTTGGTCACGCCAGCCCGCAAGCCACATGACCAAGTGGCGTCTCCGGCCTAATTTAGCTTTTGATGCTCACTGGCGAGTTGAAGAGATTGAATACTTTGCCGACTCGATGTGCTCCCAGCCGATTCGGACGTTCACTTCCGGCAACGGTGGTGCAAGCTTGTCGGTCTCTGGATATACGTCAGCATTGGCAGCCTTCGACCTTGCAGGACGGCCGCCAATGTGGTCGGAAGCTGAACTTGTTGCCGACGGAGACCAGGCAACCTACACTCTTCTTTCGCACATGCCTAGTATGGGTCACCCTGCATGGGTCTCAGTGGATTATCTCTCTGAGTCTGTCTTTGTGCGCTGCGTGCGTTTCAGGCAGGGCCCACTGCCCGTGCAGCATGCATTTTCTGTTCAGCTTGAGATTTGGGATGGAGCGAAGTGGGGTAGCGATCCCGAGATGGCGCCAGAAGAGGTGACCTTGGACGGTTTGGGCGGAGGTGGATGGCAAAGGAGACCTGCAGCAGCCAAGACGATCTGGCGAATCGAGAATCTTGTTTTTGTTCCAGAAGGTTGGGTGGTGAGTGAGCTGGAGTTCCACCTGCACCCATCATGCAATGCCAGCGCAATTTCCGGAGAACCAACAGCAAGTGGTTTTGTTCCCCCAGAAAGTGATTACGGACCACATCTAGCATTTGATGGAAATGAAATGACTGCATGGGTATCTCAGTGTGCTTCCGTTCATGAAGAAGATTGGCCCCTAGGTTACGAGTGGACAGGTCTTCCAGTCGGCTGCAGCCCATCTCGGGCATGGATTGGTCTTGATTTTGGTGCTCGAAGCCCTCAGGAAGTTCAATGCGTGAGACTGATTCAAGCTGGTTACAGTAAGATGCAGAGTGTCTCAGTGGCTTTGTCGGAGTGGGATGGCAAGGCCTGGGTGAAACGGATGGACTTGTCGGGTTTGGGTGGGAGCTCTTGGGAGCAGAGGCCCGCCGCTCCCAACACGATGTGGAGGATTCTCCACAAGATGCAAAGGCCATCCGTCTGCCGCAATCAGCTGAGCCGGATCAACAAGCGCAGCTGGGGTGTGGCAGAGTTGACCTTCTTCTCTGACGAAAGTTGTCTTCAGGCCATCGAAGGTGGAACGGCAGTCTCATCCGGGAGCATTGACTTCTACCGGGAAACTGTGGCAGACCCTCCGGACGGTTACAATGCCAGCAACAGCCGTGACTCAGGCGGTGACGACAGCATGCTTACAACGTGGGGTGCCAATTGCAACTTTGGGTGGAAGCCAACAGGCATCCTTGGTACACAGGACTCGACACGTGTCAACTGCAGTGGTGCGTGGCTAGGTGTTGCCTTCATGAAGAAGGCCGTGGAGGTTCGCTGCATCAAGCTAGTGCAGAGCAGGTTGGAGTCCAGTATTTGCTGCGATCCGGCCTCAGAAGCTGAGCTTCAACGCTGGAATGGTTCTGATTGGATCGAGGCCACGTGGATACGGGACCCACCTCCAGCGGCAAATCCAGGTGAACGTGTCCAAACAGAAAGGAGCCATCTAGGTGCACAGTTCAAGAGTCTAGGAGAGTGTCCTCCGGTCTTATCTGACAAAAGGATAGAGCTGGAAGTAATAGAAGAGTGGCGGACCAGAAGGGATAGCGATAACTGTCTCATTCAGCTCACTGGAGCAACAAGCTTGATGGGAGATTCCGTTTGCGTGACACATAGTGCTTGCAGCCGCAATTTCGGCGATGAAGGGCACTGCTGCCCCATGGGAGATCCCAAGTTTGCCATCAGCCGGTGTTGTTGCGATTTCATCAGCTCGGAGCAAATTTTCAATGACACCGAATCAGCTATGGAGAATGAAGAGGACTTGCGCATCAAGTTCAACTTTGAGTATGCAACGATTTGGTTGTCAAACCGTTTGCCATGGGCTGGCTTGGGGATTACAGTCTTGGCATACTTCTCTGCTCTCGGCTTGCCGAAAGACGTGAGGGAGCGCATCACAGAGTGGTGTCGCCGTGACGGGCCTGCGCCTCGCAGAGGCTTGCGTCTCTGGCAGCGCAGAGTCTTGGCCACGTTCTTGTGGCCCGCTGTGGAATGGAGAGACTTCTTGGCCAACAGCGAGAGCTCCTTTGCCAGACTTTCGCGGTGGTTCGTTTTGCCAAACGGGGAGCTTCCGAGCCCACTGGAACTACATCGAGGCCTTCTTTTCTTGCTCTTTGGCTTTTTGTTTGCCGGTATGGCGCCCTGGATGGGAATCGGGATTATCGCTGGTGAGGGTGCCCTGCGTGGGCTCATCGGGGTCTCTGTAGTTATCCGGTGGTTCAAGTCCAAGTACAATCCTCTCGATTTGCGAGACATGGCCTTGCGAAGGAAGATCACACGAGTGCGAATGAAGACCGACGAAGACACCGCCGATGGGATTGATGTGGGCATGGGCTGTGCCGTGGCGTTTGCTGCATCTTTGGTGTATTTCCTGAAGTTCATCTTCGACATGCTGATTTTGAGAGCGCAGATGATTTCCATGGGCATCATTGAAAGCATCGAGGCACGTTTGATCGTGGACATCTTTCCAGGCCTTCTAGAGCTTCTTCGTGAGCCTGGCATGTTGATCTACCAGATGATGGACACAGCCTCACAAGGGGTTTCTGTTGCGCTCACCTTCACCATTGGCATGCCCCTCTGTGAGGGCTCTTGCGTTCTGGTTGGATCTGTTGGCTTGGTGGCGGTGCTTGTTTGTGCTATGCAATGGCTGAACTATGATCTCTTTGGGCTCTTTGTGGCTGCCCGCAGCATGTCGAGATCCACTCGGCCAGAATGCCAGCGCATCTTTGCACAGTCGTCGATCATGGGCATGCTAGGGCTGTCGTTTGCCATCATTCAGCTCTCCATGGTGCTCTTCACCCGGGCACTTCTCTTTGCAAACCCCTTCCAACAAACTGTTTGGATGTGCGAACACGACGACACGTTGGCACTGTACATGGGCCGGACGCTGCTCTTCCTGAGTGCTTTGGGAGGAATAGTCTTCGTCTTCTTTGCTGTCAATGGCCACTTCATGGGGCAGGACTACTTGCTTGAACGCGTGGGCCGATTCCTCGCGATCGACCTGGATGGCTTGGATCCGGATGGGACAGGGCCGGGCGGTGGAATGGTGCGCTGCAACGTCTTCTTTGCCGCCTTTCCCACACTGTGCGGATTGTGGTTGGACTGGTGGAACATAGAGGCTTTCCTTGTTGCAGAAAGGGCGAGAGTCTATGCTGAAGTTCTGTGGGATCCGCAGCCTTGCAGAACTTGCGGCAAGATCCACACTCCGTATGACCTGATGATGACAGCAACAGGTCGGACGATCAGTATTACCACTCAGATTGTGCCCTACGGTGCACTCCTGGGCAAAGCGTCCGAATACCTGAATGACCCTCCGTTTATATACTGGGGTAGGAAGCTGACTTGCATGTCTGCATCCAGAGCACCTGATACACCCAGACCTCAAATCAGCAAAAAGAAAATCGTCCCAAACCTTTTCCTTTATACTGCTGAATTTCTTACACTCCTGATCGAGTACGTGGTCCCGGTTGTCAAGCGAATCAGCAGCGTTTCTATTTACATCTGCTGCCTACTGGGAACGTTCACGCTGACAGAGAAGAATCTGGTGGAACAGGGGCGATTTGTATTGCAAACCGGCTTCATGTGTGCTGCGTTCAAAGGCCTGAGCGCATACCTACTGGATCCTTTGTTGAGCTTTCTTCTTGGAGCTCTTTATCGTACTTTGGAGGCGGTAGAGGGTATTCAGAAAAAGAAGCACTACATTCCCAGAACTGTTGTGGGTCAGGTCATTGCAGGTGGACCAGTGGCCATCCTTCTCACAAATAGCGCCAGCACGAATAGATGGGCTTCCTTTGCAGACGGCTTGATCATCGGATGCATCGCAGGATATGTCACGAGCATGTTGACGCTAGCAGTCAATGCATGCTTAGAGCGCAGCAGTCCGCAGCCCGGTGATCCTCCTCGAAGAGCTGTCATACCACTTGTCATCAAAATAGGCTACTCTCTCACAGTGGGTGTCGCTGTTGGAGTCGTTTCACTCCGTGATGAGCGAACAAACTCATTTACAGCCTTTCGAGACATCCTCGCATACAGGGATGACAAGGCGGTGGTGACTGTTCGAGGAGCAGTCACGGGGATCATTCTCAGTGCTGCTGCTCAGTTTGTAAGCTTGAAGATGGTGCTGCTCGAGAACCGACCCTACAATGAGGACGATGGTCCTGGCAACTCACTGCGCAACTGGCGAGACTCGCCCACCCAGCGAGTACTGCGGACGGTTCGCCAGCTTGGGGGAGCCGTCGGAGTTCCTTTGTCAGGTCTGATTGGCAACGTCCTGGCCGAGGCAGTATTTGGGTCGAGCACCGAACAGAGCGTAGTGAGCAGCACCGTCAAAGCACTCTTCGCTCTCGGAGTTGGAAACTTCTCGGGCATTGTCCTTGCCTTGGCCGTCAACAAGATGCTGGACAACCCTCCGCAGCTTGCCGGCTTCTTCACCTTTTTGGGAGTTGCAGTTCTGGCAGCAGAGTGGAATCCAGTGTTCGGCTTCACGGCAGCTGTGGTCTTCGGCTGTGCGGTTGGAAGTGTTTTCGAAGAATTCGTTGCTCGTTCTGTAATGCGCCAGGAGCTACTTCGACGAGATGCTTGGAATGAGGTGGATGATGATTTCATCAACCAAGCAGCCCTTAAGCAGCTGTCATATGCAGACTCGGAGCATGAGACATTCAGTGAGTACTTTGCTTCTCAACCAACTCGAGATGACAACCTTCTGATCGCTCTGGAGGCCGCATCTGCTAAGGCGAAAACGGCCGAGCTTCTTCAGCAGGCACGCTTGCGTAGGGGTGCCTCGGACATGAGCGAGGAGGGACTGCGAGCGTCTGCGGAAGCAGATGAAGATGAAGCAGAACAGCCCCACGAGGCGCGGATTGGAACCTTCAACAGCGGCCCGCAGCTCCAAGATGTCCCTGATCATCTCGCTGTGGAGCTTGATGGCGAAGTTGAGGGAAGCGAGCTAGCACCCAGCATGGGAGACGTTTCATCTCGTTCGCTTAGCCATGCAAGTCTTCGCCCCCCAGAACCACAGCCGAAAGATTCCGAGTCTGACGAGGAAGAGTCACCTTTGGAAAAAATGCAGCTGGCAATTCAGGCCCAGCTGTCTTCCAGGACACATACCTCTGGCCCGCCGACGTCACGGCCCGATCTGAGGCAGCCGCCCCAGGAAGTTGGCAACCCCGGGCACTACGAGGATGCAGCGTTGGAGCAAGATCTCTTCCATCGCTGGGAGCGGAGGTCGCGCAGGCCAGCTGACACCCTGCCGGCGCGCAGCCAGCAGAGAATCAACATCAGCAACTTGTCGAGACCGAAGCCAAAGGCAGCTCCTTCACGATTGAGGCCTGTGACAAAAGCAAAGTCGGTTCCCGAGAAGCCTTCGCTGCGATCGTTGAAACAGTCCTCAACCTTCGCTTCATCCATGCTTTCGCAAGACTCATTGAAGGGGCAGAGCCCTGTGGCCACGAGGCGCACGGATGGTCAACAGTTGAGCCTGATGAACGACCCTTCGCAAGCTTCGAACATGAGATCGGCCCCACACAGCCCCAATGGTGAAGGTCATGAAGTTCTAGAACCATGAGACCGTTGATGCGTTTGAATGTGTTTTTGCGGATCCTTCCTTGATGTAGGACGGTGCAGCCTGTGAAGGAGCATGGCTAAAAATTCTCTATTGAAGCAAAGATGAACGTGCAAGCCCACATGCTTCGTATTTTCTGCTGATTCAATCCCTGCAAACATGCTTCAGAGCCAGTCATAGTTCTCACGAGGGATGCAAAGCATGCCCTGGTGCCTTTCTTGTGTACAGCAGTCGTTGAGTGTGAACAGCGGTTTCACCACCGGTGCTTAGTTAGCCAGTTTGTGCAGTTGAACGTGGGCATCAACGTGCCATTCTAAAGCTGCAGTTTTCGCATCTTGCGCCGAGCAATCGAGCAATCCCGCCAGCCAGAAGTCACAGCAATTCCACAATGATGTCATCAACGAATCCAAGATCCGGCCGGAGATGTATGCACCTATGCGACTATCTAGAATTGAAAGCGGTCATCGCTTAAAAAGTGCTGTGCCGCACGGGTGTGTAAGACCCATGACGAACATCCCAGCCTGCCCCGGAAGAGCCTTGACCGCCGTGCAGCAGCTTTGAGTGGTTGGTCTCTCCCTCTCCCTCGAATCTCTTTCCCTTGTGCTTGCCTCGTCAAGTACATACTAATATGCACCTTTATGCAACAAAGCATACCATGCATGTTCGGCATCCAGTTCGCAGTCCACAGCAACGGATGCTGCAGGAGTCAACGTTGGAAGATGCGCTGCAGACTGCTCTTTTCACAGCCCTTGGCTTCCGAGTCCAGAGCTTGGCTCCGACCCCGAACGACAGCGCCTGTTCCTTCATCTTCGTTGCGCGCGTCTAGGTTTTGGTCAGCCCGTTCGAGAAGGAGCAGTCTAGGCCGCCTGGTGCCAAGGCACAGCCGGGCCCGGGCCGGGTGCGTCTTTGCTCTTGAAACATCGTGACGGAGGTTGCTTGTCGCACGATCGCACAGGACAAATCGCCAAAGTTGCGGGGCAGTGCTGGTCCAAGTTTTTCGCAGTTTCCTTGTGTTGCGTAGCCTCTTCAGACACTTGGAAGGTCCAGCTAAGCCTTGCTCCCGCCAAAGATCGCGTGGAAGAGGAAGCTGTCCAACACAATGTATCACCTTATCATCGAGCAGATTCGAACAAGCGACAAGGCCGTTCAAGCAGCAGCTCAAGCAAAAGCCGCAGAACACGAGGCTCGGATGCAACACTGCGGCTGATGCAGCACAGCTAGCGCGCAGTATTCAGCATGCAGGCCGCGTGAGGCGATCGTCCAGAGCAAGACAGTCCTCAACGTCGAAGAGCCACACGAGGCAACCAGTCCGTGATACTGAAAAGCTTGCGAGCCCTCGCAAACCCAGTGTAGCCATCGTTTTGCGTCAATTGTGCTCCGTAGTCCTCTAGTTCTCTGTCAACCGTGATTAAGGCGGAGGTCGCGAAGTTCCGGAAGGCATTCTGACCGTCCGTTTCGCTCAATGTCGCTCAGCCATGTGTCTAGGTCTGCACGCAGGCGACGATGTGACAGCCCTAGTATGCCCTTCACTTCATCTCAGTTCACCGAGTTGGCGGCGCTCTGTAATTTGCGCTAAGGCGGCCGAAGGCATCATGATCGCAGGAATCGTTCCTCGAAGAAAAAGCACTTGGTCGCTAGCTCTTCATCACAATGCTGCAGGGGACTCCCGGGGTTGTGTATAGTAGAGTTTGCGTGCAGTATGTGTCACAAGCGTGTTTCAGGCGAATAGAGCCTTCCCGGTGAGGGTCGTTAGGAGACTACATTAGCATGGTTCAATGGCCTTGTTACAAGCATCTCGTGAGCATGTCGATCAAACGTGAGGTGTCTTGGACACGCAGTAATTTCTGCGACCTTGCATCGCATTCTCATTGTTTTCTAGAGCTGATCTGAAACCGATCCGCAAGATATGAAAGCTTGGAGTAACTAGCATGGTCGACAGCTGAACCAATGCAAGGTTCCAGAAGTCGGGGTTCGAGTTCGCGGGGAAGGCCTGTCAAGTTTCCTCGTGACTTGAACATGCCAAAGGGGCCCGTATGGGCCTGTCTTGCCTAAACATGGCTTCTTGCCGCCGGAGCAGACAACGCCTTGTCCTGGCCTTGAAAGACACCGAGAAAGTTGGCATGATCCATTTTCGGAATGTAGAGAAACTTGGAGTATAACCGTTTGAAGCATGCGAGAACTTTAGCTTGTTGTTGTTTGATCTGTCTTCTGTCTATGCGGACTTATGGTCCTTATTGATTAATTTTTTCCCTGAATTCCTGCGAAGGATGTTGCAGGTTTGGTTCGACATGTTAGGTCTTTTTTCCAATCTGCACATCTTGTCTTGGAATTTACTCTCTGAGCTTGTCGGTATCGGATGTTGTTGCTGTTGTTGTTGATGATGACTTGACCTCACCCGACACAGGTGCGCCCAATGGGCAATTGCCCCCCACAGGCGCCCAGCTCGCAGACAACCCGCCCTCCAAGGTCAAGAGCAGGTCGCGCCCTACGTGAGGTTCGAATTCTCTCGTGGAACGCAGGGCACCCCTCGGCCAACAGCAGTGGTGTGTGAAATCAAGTCCTGGCTCGGGACTGAGGCCCGCAAACCTGTGACGTTTTGGTTTTACAGGAGACGCACTGGAAGGAAACGGCGGAGTTTACGTCAGCCGGATGGTGCTGTGTATCGTCCGCCTCTCCTGTCACAGAAGCCCCAGCAGAAGTTAAAAGTGCAGGAAAAAGGGGCGCGGCCCAACGAAAAACTCGTTCTCAGGGGGCACGGCCCAAGAAGACCAAAGAAAGTGCCGCAGGTCCGTCCACGGCGTCAATGGCACTGCTCCATCACCTGGCACTAGGTGGAGGGAGCATGCAAGGGGGGAGTCATGGAGGTGCGATTCGACTGGCATGGAGCTCGCACCATGGTGGTAGCTTTCTATCAGCATGTCTGGTCCAGGGCAAAGACGGTGCAAGCCAATCGATCGGACAGAGCAGCAGTCATTCGCCATCTTTCTCGCTGCGCAAAGCAGATCCCAGTTCGTGACACCCTCCTGATTGCCGGAGATTTTGATTCCTCCGTCTCGAGGCTACTTCGACTAGCGGGCTTTTTTAAAGTCCGGAGGACGTGCCTGTAGCGAGCAATTGAATTCACAGGTGAAACAAGTTGAGGGAACATCTGTTGAGGCCTGCTCTCCCTGCAGCGACGTGACCCAGGTGGAAAGGGGCTCCAGAAGTGCCGCCTTGATTAGGAGCATGACATGCACAGGAATTCCAGTCAAGGCCTTCTTGATCAGCAGCTCCGAAACGCGCAGGATGCCCTCCAGCCACTTACGCAGGTCACGCAGGGCACCGACTGGACAAGCACGTGCATTCCACTGGGGCCCAGGTGTGGATGGAGGGGCAGGAAAACAGATGTGGTAGCCGGCAGCCGGTGGAAAAACGCCGATCCCAAAATCACAAACCGAGAACTCTCCGGGGGGGAGGGAGTCCAATCCCCAATGCGCAGGCCACTCACTGTGAATGTGGCCGCACCAACATACCGGCAAGGCCCTGGGTACAGGAGCAGCACGAGGAGGGACGACGTCGGGCCACACAGCATGTGTGAAGTGACATGTTGGAGAGTGAGTGCCGGGAGACATCTCGGCACGAGCTCTCTTTGGTGTGTTTTTAGATATGGCACACTGCTCTGCAGCCGAGCTTGCATTCTCCACCCGAAGACCGGAGAACTCGCACAGATCTGCGGCTGGGACTACCACATTTCCTTCGACGTGTTGTTTGAAGGCTTGCGGCACCACCTGATCGACTTGGTGGCACTTCTACGAGCTAGGGATCATCGCCAGCTCCTTGGCCTCCGTGACTTGCTTACGTCCTTGAAGGTCGACAGCGGTGAATGCACTTGCACAGGGCAGTTTAGCCTTTACAAGCACTCCTTTCAGGATCTTGGTCAGGCGGACAATGCCGCGATCCGAGCTATTGCCTCAGGGTCCAGACTTCTGCATTCTATTGTGCTCGACGGTGGCGCTGCCAAGTGGGGCCTTCTCTGGCTACGCTCGGAGTATCGCGAGTTGGGTCGGGACCCCTCTTTTGTGATTGCAAGGGCAGTCCATGTCACATCACGCATCGCCTCAGCAGCGATTGTTTCTCCGTAAGATGTTTGTTTTTGGGTTCAAGATGGCCTCGGCTCTATGGGCAGAGCTGAGGGCCATGGGCTTGCAGGACTTAGCTCCCACATTGTTTGCGAAGGGAGTGAGGTCCATCGATGATGTTCGTAGGAACGAGACGGCTCTCGTTTCGGCCGGTGTGACCGGTGTGGCCCAGATGCAGCTTGAAGCTTTGATCGGTAAGCCCAGCGAGCCAGCTGTGCCTCAACCAGTTAGGCGGCAGGATCTTCCGCCGATGCCCACCCGCAAGCGGGCGTCGTTTGAGGCCTCAATAGCCGCTGCGAGGCCCGAGAATCGAGAGAATGCTACGAAGAGGCTGTGTCAGGACGTGCTGGCTCAGACGACCCAGGCCCCGTTGACGAGCCGGGTCAAGACTTGGCAAGAGTGGTGCCGAGCTTGGGGCGTTTTGCCTTTTCCACTGGATGTCAACAACATCTCACGTGCTGCTGCTAGCATGAAGGACGGTGGTTATCGTTCTTGTGCACAGTATTTTTCTGCCGTGGTCAAGCATCAGGAGCGGAACTTGCGCGTTAGAGTCGATGATGTGCTCCGACAATTGATTCAGGATTGCCGTCGCAGCATTTTGCGAGGATTGGGGCCAGAGTCACTCAAGGACGCTTTTGATGTTTCGGCTCTTCGGCCGCTGCTTCAGGTGTGCTGAGCAAGTTGGCCCATGGGATGCATCAGACATTGTGTGCATGACTGACGGGGTTTTGCTTTCTGCCTGGTTCATGTTGCGAGAAATAGAATTCGGAGGCCGTCGTCGATCACATTTGTATCTTTCGGGCGGCAAGATTCACTTGCTGTTGCCAGCGCAGAAGACCGAGACGCAAGGGTCAGAGTTCGGCGACATCTATTTTGCCCGTATCATGCCGGTGTTCGTCATTTGCAACGATTGATTTTATTCGAGGCGACTTCCAATCTGACTGCAGTCTTTGCTTTTCCAGACAGGGACGGCAAGGAGCTTAAGAAGTCTGCCGTGATTTCCGCTTTCAGGAGCGCAGCACACTGACAGGCGCGGGTGTGGCCACCCGGACGAGGCTGGTCGACAGCAACAGCGGTTTCAGGGGCGCGTGTGTCGCGTGTTCGGTGCCCAGTGGCTTACCGGGCTTCATGTGCCAGTGACCATCGTCCAACTTTTGGGTCGGTGGTCGTCTTCTGCAATCAATCGATACATACAAACAGCTCCGCTTTTGCAGTTGCCAGCAGTCACTTCACAGGCCCTTTCAGGCGATCCTGGCCTGCCTGCACAAGTGACTTCATCTGATATGACTCAGCCTGTTGGTTTGCCCTCGGGTGCTGCTTCAGGGGCTACTGGTTCGACTGCTGGTGACGTTCAACCGGTTTTGGATCAGTTGGTCTCCTTGCAAGAAAGAGGTTGAGTCGCTCCAGAGGGCGGCTCTGGCTCCAGTCGATTCGTTCCAGACTGGTGCACAAAGGCCGCGTCAACGAGGTGGCGAATCCGCCCAAGAAGTGGAGGACTGTTTGCAGCTGGCCCTACGGTGTTCGCAACTTTCTGCGAGTGATGCCTGCGGATTTCGATGATGCCAACCAGTGTCACAGGTGTTTCAATCCAGAGGACAGAAGCAGCTCGTCGTCCTCTTCTTCGTCGTCACCGACCGGCGGCAGTTCGATGTCTCCGATGCAGAGAGCAGTTCCGAGATTAATGAGTGTTAGGTATGTGACTCAGCTTGTGCGCCCTTGGTCGATTCAGCTTTCTCGCAGCATGAAAAATCAGACCTCCTTTTCCGTTGAGACTTTTCTTCACCTCGGCCCATGGCTGCCCCCCAAAACAGGAAGTGCGAACACATCACCCACCCATGCCTCCTCGGTTCGGGGTTCCGGGGGTTTCCCTAGGGGTGTGATTACTTGGTGGATTTCGTGTTTCAGGGCATTGTCCGTACCCGCACGACAGCGAGTACAGCGACGCTCAGATGGCCGAGATTGTTCGAGTACATTGTGAGGCCGCGGGGATAGTTCAGATCGGCTCTAGAAAACGTGGACTGAGGATAGTCCTTTTATGCGAGTCACCCGAGCGAGGGTGCACTCCATTTCACATTCACGTGCTGTGCGGAGGAGTGATGCGTGGGTGTACAAACATACGTCGTTGCTCTCTCCGAGTTTTGCAAGCTGCTCGTCAGCAGTTACTTGATTGGCCACGAACTCCCTGGCTGTCGGCATTTCTTTTTCTTGATCGCCTCAGGCTCAGGACAGGGTCGTTTTTCCAGTCGTCATAAGGGTTGATTTGCATGTCACTTTCCTAGCTTCTCTTTCGCAGAGCACAGTTGGTCACTGCTTGGGCATTTCTCCATAGGTCACTTTCAGACAAGTGAAACTAGCTGGCGAGTTGCCCTTTTCGGGTCATGGCTGGAGCGGCGAGCGAGCCGACTCTGGCTGAGATAGCTGCCCAAGCAGGGGCAGGTTCAGAGATTACACAATATCTCGAGCAGCGAGGGGTCCGCTCGTTAGGGGCCCTCGGTTTGGTCGGAAGTGATGTCGACCAGCTTGACAACGTACTTGTGGCCCCTTTGCTTGCGGGCTGGCGTCCCAACCCTGCAGAACCAGGCATCCAGCTTTCAGATTTCATGTGGGCCTTGGCAACGGAAACCAGGAAACGAGTTGCAGCGAGCGCCGTGATCGTTCCCACGGCACCTTCCGCCTCGGCTGCTACAGCGCCGACCGCTGGCGATTCCAAGACTCCCAAGACACTGCCTGCAGGTGAATGGCGAAATCTCATGGACCGCTACAACAGCATCACCCTCAACGGCGAACCTCGAGAGTTTCCTGAAGAGGAGCTCTTAGGAGCAGAATCGGTGGTAGCTCGAGTGCTTCATGAACATCGCATCACGAAATTGTACCATAGGGTTGGGGGAAGTGCTTCAGCGCCGATCGTTTCAAGCCAGTGGCTTGGTGAATCCGCTGGCCAAGCGGAGTCGTTCGACCAAGCTGTCAGTTGAGGACGGCGTTCTGCGTGAGGAACATGATCAGGAAGATGACTGGGTCCCCCGAGGTTCGTTGAGCATCATCGATGGTCTTAATTCCATTCGCTGGATCTACGTGGTGTGTGAGGTCGGCCCAGAGACTTGGGTACACAAGTACTTTGACGCGATGATCAGAAGCTCTCGCATCAAGCCCAACCAGGGAGAGCACGAGTAGGCCTTGCAGGGGCAACAACAGCGCGGCGCAGCATGGCCTTCTCATTCGGCCGCGCCTGCAGCAGCGGTCGAGGGGTTGCCCCGTGCATCTCCACGGCAACCTGTTTCACATCCTGATAGGCATGCTGCTTCGCAGAGTCCAGCTCCTGTATCTCCGACTCCGATGTAAGCCTCGCTTTGTCCTGCGCAAACCGAGTTCTTTCCTTCAGGAAGGCCTGCATCATCTGGTGCACATAGAGATTCGAAGGCTTGCCTCGGCGGGTCAGTTCGCCCTGCAGTTTCGTCAACCGCTGTTCGACCTTGCGGGCTGCGTTGATAGCATGCTGTATGTCGCGAACCATCCCACCTTTTGAGGTCTGCGAGAGCGTAACAGTGCTCACCTAGGTAATCTCTGCATTGTCCGCCACGACCACATCGTAGCCCGGAAAAGCCGGAGTAGCCTTCGCCTTCGCAGCTTGCTCCGCTTTCGCTGCACGAGGCGATCTGTAAGCATCCACACCCGACCAGTATGTATATGCAGGCTTTTCGGATCGCCATGCTGCGTCTTGGTTCTTTCTGCCGCATCCCATGCGACCCAATATCTCCTTCTGTCGAGGCGCAGTGCCGTGATGGCAGAGCAGCCGCTGGCGTTGTGTGCCCGTGAGCTTTCCAGAGGTACGAAGACAACGGCGAGCTCGGGAGCGAAATTGCCTGAGATGGCGATGCCAGGCCCCTTAGAAGCCGGAATGACGACGCCTGGGGCTATCAGCAATCGGACGCTGGTGTCCGTGTTCTGAGCCCTCTAGCGGGCTTTAGAATGATAGAACCACAAAAACACGGGCTGACGAACCGGAATTAACCAACTTCTTTCGTGCTCACCATGTGGTGGTGCTGAACACCTGGCAGGCCTCTCCGGCGGACACCTTCGTGCGAGGCGAATCCAAAACTCAAATTGATTTCGTCATGACTCGAGATGCAGCACCCTATGGCAAGCACGCATAGAGGCCTTCCGCAAGGTCCCGACACTTTTCAAGCCGATCACCAAGGTCAGGACGGACAAAGACTTGACCTGGAGCCTTGCTGTGACCGCGCGCCGAGTCCTCACCAAAGACGGCCGGGTCACGATAGCAACGGGGCACAGCGAAGATTATTTGGAGCTCGAGACTCCCACCGAAGCCCATGGACTTGGGGGCACTTTTCACCAAGATGTGGCACCATGAAGACATGGAAGCACTTTTTGCCACATACGAGGACGTCTGCTTGATTGCCACCGCGGTGGTCACGGTGTATAACCGTATAACCACGCAGGGCTGCATTCCAGGATGCACAAGTGCAAGTACCCGGAGAAGAGGGTACGTATCATCCACAACTCAGCTGCCCCGCCAAGGCAAGGGTAGACTCACACCGACCGCCAAAAGCGTGCCCAACAGTACTGGGCACGAGGACGGGGCAAACGCCCCAAAGATGCCGCTTCTTCCTCCTCTGGCTCACATCAGGCGGAACAATGGTCCTGGAATTCTTGGATTTGGTACCAAGACTATGACGATGACGAGGAAGAGGACCAGCCGTCTGGACAAGATCAATGGCGCCACCCCGGATACCAGGGACACCACCACCGCAATTGCTGGCACAGCCTTGCAATGACTACTTCGCAGGCACAGCCTGAATCACTGGCAAGCCGCAAAAAGGCCATGTCTTGCCCGCGTGCGCGAGTGACTTCAAGGTGCTTTTTGCACAAGCCAAGGCTCAGCCGCTGACTTAGTTGCCGGCCTCGACATCGTTAGCGCCACGGCCAGTGAGAAAATCTGCTCGGTACGCCATGACCTTGAAGTCCGTCTGATAGCATTGCGATAGTCGACACTGTTTTCAGCGTGCACAGGTACTCCGCCATTGCCTCAGCCACCCGTCATTCCCTTCCGGCCCATCACTGGAAGTCAGGAGTGTGTGTGGGACGCCACTGGACGGGAACTCATAGAGACGGCTTTTCGGAGTACGACCAAACTGACTACCAGTTCGTGAGTATTGGACGAAATGACTCACACAGGGTGCCGGAGGAGCTTTCTGAGATTGCCGAGATCGTCCTGAGTGAAGTCCGAAGTTCATGCTTTCAAAATGTTCTTACGTTCCTGGCTGAGTACTAAGTCAGCTTACCAAAGTTTCACATGAGTGCCGGTCAAGCAATACGCCCGCCACATGCAGAGCACGCTCGTGCAGCGTTAATTTGACAATTGTCGTGGTTACCAACAAAAGATCAAAAGGATCGAGCCGTCCGATGAAGAGCGCTTCCTCCAAGCACAATCATGTGCTTTAGCTCAGCATGGAAATTGATGCCAGGTTGCTCTTTGAGCAGTGCACGATCACGCCGACTTTTCACAATCGTCAGAGGATGTAAACTAAATTGCCGCAGAATCTCATCGGACTAGGCTACATACTTTTAAATGTCCGTGAAAGATGACATCTGCATCCGTGTGTGTTGCGTCAGGCATGGAAGGGTGCATCGTCGAGAACGCCATTCCGCCAGGTGAACGACTGACTGTCAGTCGTTGTGCAGACGAAAAATTGGGCAGTCGTCGCTGTCGCGAGCTGAAGCATGCCGTCTCTCCACGCGTGTTGTGTTACGTTTTGTGTGTGCGTGTGCCAAAATCCACTGCGGACTGTTATCTTTGTGCTGAAGTAGGGTGGGGGAAGCTGGGATCGTCCCATGAGGGAGCGCAGTTGCCCGGGACGAGATTACGCATCAAAGTTCGTGAGCAGCACTGCAAAGCAGTCGGCCAAGCCAAAACTACGGCTTCAATTATGGCCGTGATAGGGGAAAGCTGTGCCTCGCTGACCCCGTACGGAGTGGACCACTCAGTTGCCGGTGATCCTTGCAGTGTGCAGATCTCGGGCGCTGATTCGGCTGATTCGGCTTCAGGTTGGTGCGACATTGGCTCAGCTGGGTAGGGGTGGACTGCCGAACGACAGGAAACCCAGAAGGCTGGCCTGGTCAGATCCTGAAAGAGTTCATGTTCAATGCTGCGTGCTAAAAGGAGCGAGTCGATGGCAGTAGACAGATGTGTCAGGGCGTTCAGCCGACCTGGGTTCATGGTCCATCAGAAATGCATCAGATCTGGCGGTTTTTTTGCTCCAGTGTCAGAACATACCCCTCCTTCCTGCAGGCCGGTCTGCATTTATGGACTGGGCTTGACCAGCGCTTTCGAGAGGCCTTTGTCCTGCACCGACACCCTGGGCCCTGGGCATGACAGTGTCATTCTGTGGTTTTGTCCAGTGCAGCAGGGACTGTTTTTCGCGTTGCAAGTGCTTGCTACCAGGCCAGCCACCGGCCCTTGCCTCGATGCCTCAGCGCTGCTTTCAGTAAATGTGTGGTGATCAGAGGCCAGTCGAGACCGAGCAGCCCTGGACCACGTCTTACGACATCTCGATCTGCTGCATCCGTCAGATCGGGCTCAGTGTCCTTCTTACAAGTGGCGAGCAGTTGCAAGCAGGAGTTCCCTCCTGCACTACACATGATGTGTGAGTGGCGCTGCAGGATTCATCGCGGCCGCCCTCCTCCCTGTCGCGAACGCAACTGCATTGGTTCCGGGCTCAGAGCAAGAAGTATGGATTCAGCTGGTCAGGACGACGTGCTCGGAAAAAGAGCCAAAGTGATGCTCATGGCTTATGACGTTCTTGTACTTGGCTTGCGAGTCTTTTGGATGCCTCATCGCCATGGCCTATGGAGCTCACATACAAAAACGTCACTAGCAACATAGACAGGAACTCACTAGTGCAGTCTTCCGTGTTTGATGGCAACTAACTCTGTGCCGTTCACGCACGGATGCCCGAGTATTGGTGAACGTTGGTGACCTGGGAAACCCTTGCCGGCCGGGCCCTGGACAGTCTTGCTTGTCAGCGCCTCTTGAATGCGGAGGTTTCGTCCGTCCTTAGGCTGTTTATGTGGCCAGAATGCTTGTGTGAGTCTGCAGACAATGGCCGCGATACCAGCCATTGTCTCATTCCGGGGCCGATCGTCTGGATGCTATGGCAAGCCTGGTTCACTGTATGGGAACCGGTCCAATCGGGTTCAACTGGAATCGACTGGTCGATCGGCTGGAGGACAATCCCCGGTGGGCCTGGTCATCGATGGCCATCGGCTTTTGCCAAAATTTGGATGGCTTCAAGTGGCAGCCGTTCCATTGCTGCCGACTGCAGCCATAGCCGAAGCTCTAAGTTGTAGGTTTTGCACATCCGCCCTTCCCGGACCATCGCTGCCTATTAACGACTTTGAATTAGTTTGCGGTGTTCTCCACTCGGGAGCTGCCGTTCCAATTGGTCGGCATCCTTGCCAGAAGAGCTCGAAATCGTGTTGTTTCAGAGAGAGAGAACAAGTGCACATGCCGGCGAGGGAGAGGAACAAAACTAAGGCTCCCTGGGAACGTAATGCCACTTATTGTAGGTTCATCTTCACACATACTGACACATACAGTTGAAGCACTTTTTTGATACTGATGCTATGTAGACCTGCGCAATACTGTTCCGGAAAGTCGGCATCGGTACAGGTAAGGCCTAGCGGCCTAGCGTGGCCCACTGAGCTTTCGCCGAGGACCCCACAGCCATCGCACTGGGAATGGGAGCATTTGCGAAGTGTTCTGAACTTGGCATGAGGAAGTTCTGGCATCAGCGTGTTTCGAACGCACGTGTTCGTAGACATTTGGGAGTTGTCAGTAAACTGAGTTGAGATACTTTTCGCTGAGGTCCGAAGTCCAGTCCGCGAGCGGGAGGTGCATCGGCACGAATACGCAAACGAGCCACGATATCTCCCGGCAGCCAAGCACACGGTCCAAAGTCATTCCGCTCCGAAAACAATCGAAACTGCCACATCCTCGTGTTGGACGGTGAGTTTAAGTGAGTGAATTCGTTTGTGTGTATAGCATGCAGTCAACTCGTAAAGGCTAAGGCTAAGCATGCGGAAAAGCTTGCCAGAGCAGGGTATCGCGTTCGAGTCTTTGCATACAAGTTATGTTGCTACAGTATGGCTGGCCAGATGCTTCAGTGAAGGGCGAGGCCCTTTGGAGCCATGCTTTTCGATTTTATCTGGCATTTCGCGTCGTTTCATGACGGGTTTGCTTTGCCACCACATGACTGAAACTGCAAGACGGGGGTGTTTTGCCTGGCAGGTCGGGCGTGTGGCAAAAATCATGGGCGCATCAGCACTTCATGCGATCCCTGTCAACACGCCGCTGGGCGTGATGCAGAATCCGTAGCGGCCCTGGGATACTCAGATGCTTCGTGTTTGCGTCTTCAGACTCGTCTGATCAGGTACTACCGACGGACTGGCTTGATACACGGGGAATGCTAGTAGTGTGTGCAGGCTTTGCCTTTTAGCGGTCATCGATTTAAAAGAAGATATTTGCAATGGATTGAACAGAAAGATAAGGTGGTTTGGGAATCGCTGAAAACGATTCCGTTTCACCGCTCAACACGGGAGAGCATGCAAAGTCATTACAAATCCAGATCCTGAAAAATTCTATATCTCGAAAACAGATAAATCACCCACACATTCTAATTGATTAGACAATTTACAGGTCTCCCAAATAACACAAATATTTCAAGGCCTACGGTTCCGAAGATTTATCGAAAAAGATCCCCTTAATAGAAGGAAAATATTTTTCCTGAAATACTTATTATATTTGTTGACCGATCTATATAGAAATTGAAAAAATTCATAAAATTATATTCGATCCTTTATAAGATTTTTCCTATATATATATATATGATATTATTTAGAATAATTTTGAAAATTATTTCGATTATTATTCTGAAGATTTATTTTTAATATATTTATTTAAAATCTTTATAAATATTTATTATTCATAATATTTTGTTAAATATAATAGAAAGTACGATATATTCTTGATTATTTCAACATTTATAGATTAATTGTATTTGTTTATAATATATAATATGAGATAATTATAAGGATTTGTTATTCTTTAGCTTGTATATATTTATTATATATAATATATTATTTAAAGATAATTTAAAAAAAGAAGATATCGTTTCTTTCTATTTTTGTACGACTCTTTGGCTTGTAATTTCGTTTTTTGGTGTTATTTTTTTTTGAATATTCGGAAATTTTAGTATCGGGAGCACTTCTTTATCGATAGAGAATTTTGGTATTTTTAGGAAATGTTGTATTAAAATTTCGGATATTTTGGTAACTTCTGTGGATAAACTCTCGGCAATATAAAATTTTCCGAAAATTTTGGGATATATAAAATTTCCGAAATTTTAGCATCGGTAGTACGTTTGAAGAAGAAAATATATCGGATTTTAGGACCGCTTGAAAACCACGCAAGAGGCTTGCAAGAAGAATCGCATTAGGATTTGAGTGCCGAAATTTCAGTGCCGCGAGATAGACATATAAGACACGAGTTCCGATGGCGCTCTCTCTGAGAAGGTAGGTGTCGCTATATGTCTTCTGGGTGTCTATACATCTATCTCTTTATTTGCTTTTGGTAAACAGGAGCTGCTTTAGCTGGGAGATTAAAAGGCATGGACGGTCACTATATCGTTGGATTCAAAATTCATGTTCTGGCGTGTCGCAATTTTCCAGCTCCAATTTCATCGTTGAAAGCACGAATATCAAAATATATCCGAACCTTTCATTCTTACTCAAATACGTCCTCTATATATTCTATCCTCATCAAAATACGTGCAAACCTTATTGGATTAGAAATACATATTCTGGAGTGCCGTAATTTTACAGCTCCGATTTCATCGTTGCAAGCACGATTATCCTGCCATTATTATTTTTTATCGTTACCAAAATACGTCCAAACCTTTCGTTCTTACTGAAATACATCCTTTATGATCTCTATCCTTATCAAACCACGTCCAAAACTTTTGTGCTCACTCAAACACAACACGTCCCGACTTCTGTAGACCAGCAACCTCCGCTGTCGCCTGCTAATGGAGCAGGCGGCCACTCAAAACATTTTGTCTAAATTGGTTGCAGCAGCTTTGTTCGTATATATCGCTATGTCAGATTGCTCGATCAGATAATTTCCTTCCAGGCCGGTATGTCGCTATGAATTTGTTGCTCTCGTCTGGCTACTGAATCCTCTGTGGAGGTGTTACAGGCTCTGGAAATCTTATCCTTCAAATAGAAGAATATTATCCATGGGCATTTGGACGGCCTCAGGGCAGAACACCATAGCTGAAAAGTCAGTCTGTCTGAGTCTGTCTGTCTGTCTGTCTGTCGGTCTGTCTGTCGGTCTGTCTGTCGGTCTGTCTGTCGGTCTGTCTGTGTCTGTCTGTGTCTGTCTGTGTCTGTCTGTGTCTGTCGGTATCTGTCTGTGTCTGTCTGTCTGTCCTGTCTGTCTGTCTATGTCTGTTTATTTCTGTCCGTTTGTTCGTGTCGGTCTATGTGTGTCCGTCTATTTGTGTCTGTCTAATTTGTTTGTCGAGTTGTAGTTGTCGGCATTACTTGTCTCTATCTATTTGTCTCTGTCTCGTTTTATATCTCTCTCTCTCTCTGTCTATTTTTGTTTGTTTGATTATCTCTATTTGCCGGTTTGTTTGGATTTCTATTATTCTATCTATGAGTGATTGTCTTTCTATTTTCTGATTTATTTTTATATGAAATGAGGTCGTATTGATCGCTTCTACTTTCTTGCGCGATTTCTTGGTCTCTATAATTTCGTCTTTTGAGGTGTTTCTTTCTGAAAATATCTTATTCATTTGTCTCGCGGTATTAAATTTCGGAAATTTTAGGATCTTGGTAATACAAGCTCTGTAGGCGCTCTCTCTGTATGTAGGTATCGATATAATTATGTCTCTTATCTATCTATGGAACTATCTCTTCGTTTGATTTTGGCAAGCATTCTTAGATATGAGGTTAAAACTATGGACAATTATTATATCGATAGATTCAAAATATATGAATTATCGTGTCGTAATTTTCCAGCTCCGGTTTCATCGTTGCAAGCACGATTAT